CTGAAGGGCTCAATATATCCCACTATGAATCCCTACCCTCTTTACTTTTTATGTAGTTACAGTTATCTCCAAAAATACAACTACGAGGGCATATGCAGACAGGACAGTATTAAAAACAAATTAAATCTGATCATGATGGACTCAAAGAAGGGGGAAAACTAGGGAAGTAACTAGAAACATATGCAACACCACTGAACACTACTTACAAGAGCTCACTGGTAGTAAAATTTGATAGTGGTACTTGATTGTTTGTTTTAAAAGATAAACTCGCTAAACAAAGACAATCTGAATGTCACGTATTGCTTTTATTGCCACAAGGATTAGAAACTACATGCTCAGATTGCATTTTCCCAGCTGCCATAAAACATAAGGCAAAAAGACTTCCTGTGTGCCAAGAACAGTTGAGCATTACTGCAGTCCTCAGGTCTCCATCCAAACCCAACACATTCAACAAAAATGAACTATAAACTACCACAGTCTACTGCTCTCTGTATTTTCAGAATACGAAAAGAAAAAAAAAAAAAGCCAGAGAACTGACTTCAATTTAGCAATTTTTTAGCAACTCCATTAGACCAAGAATTCCCAGTATTTATACACAGACCACACAAGATCAAGACTTCCAAATAACAGAAACACAACAAGAACAGAAACAAAAACAAAAAGGGGGCAATAATCAAATTAAACAAGGACTGACACAAGTAGGAGCTAAGACCAAAAAATGCAGCTAAATGGAACAAGCTGGATTACTGTCCAAAGTCAGGGGAAGGGTTCTGATCCTCTCTCCTTCTCACTCCTACAGCTACTAGAACCTCTGGACAGGGCACTTCTCTTTGGGGTTTGGTAAGGGTAGAGACAAGGACACAAATCCAATCGCAAGACTGAACGACTCTACTGACATATGAGGTTTTGGGCTTTAATACTGAAACTTGAGATAATCTAAGTATCAAAACTGCAAACTCTGTTGACGTTCTGAGATTTGAACATACAATAATTCCAATTCCTTCCTAGTTACCTTAAATATCGCATAAAGTCTACATTCAAAAGACAGTAACCAAAAGAGATTAAAAATAAAACTTTTAGACTGGTTTTGACTGTGCTGTTGTGGCTTTAAGAACAAACGTTTGGGTAACAGGGCCACTGTTATCTGAGCCACGCTGTGCTTCCCAAGCCATTTTACATTTCATTAGGCAGCACCAACTGAACTTCTAGCAGGAATGAAAAACACCAGAAAGATCCTTTACTGCAGAACACTCACATCCTCACTGCAGTCCTTCTGCATGCAAGCACTTGGCATATAGAAATTTTATTGACACGAAAGTCAGATTTTACCATTTCTATGGAGAGCTAGTGAGAACAAAATTACAGAGATGCCTTATTGGCAAAACCATTGTAAAGGGACTGCAAACTATTTTATTCTTCCTGGTCAGAGTCCTTCTATCTTTTTTTACTACTAATATATTCCAGAAACAAGACACAGTGAGCTGCATGTAATTATCTTACTCAATTTCCATGCAACAGACACTTCTTTTATTGCATAAACCCACATATTCCCATCTTCTCCTTTAAAAATTGAGACAGTGAGTGGTTAAAGTAATTACAGCTGTCATGGAGGGTTTAACAAATAACTTTTCTTCTCAATGTATGCTTTAGGCCACTGGGAAAGCTGTCAAATAATGACATCAGAATCTATATTAACACTGGCAAAGTGCAACTGTGCTTCTTTTCACATTTAACTCAGGTGGTTTATAGCCCTTCCTTTTCCTATTCTGTGGTCAAGAACAGGAATGGACGAATGGGTTGTAACTGAGAAAAAATTGAGAGAGAGAATGAATGTTAAATGAAAGCATGAAAGAAAATTAGAAAGTGTGAAAACATATCCTTCATTTGATAATGAAGCAGTTTGCTCATTCTTCACCATTGATGAGCTTTGTAAACCTGAGCCAATTCCTAAAAGTCCAATTAAGCTGTAAGGGAAGAATATAAAGGAATGAGATACTCTTTCAGTATCTAAGTTATTAGTTATTACTACACTGCATTTCTTGCACATCTCTCGCATATGAGAACATGAGATGGGCGACTGCATCACACACTGTAGGGAGTTACCTTCCTGCTAATCCATGCCAAAGCTTTCCAGCACAGACTATCTCATCTTCAACTTGATTTTATATGTCATCTTAATTCCAGTCAAAGTACAAAACAACTATAAACTCACTACTGCTTTACTGCCTGCTGAAGTTATATGCTCTGTTCTGAGAGTGACCTTGAGCATTGATATTGGTTTAAAAAGTCACACATGGGTCTTCATCACCTGGAAGACAGCAGTGCCCAGAAGCAGCCAAGGCCCTGACATAACTAGACAATCCAATTTCCAGCGACAAGCTTAGGGACTGAAGGAAATTATTAATGAGGAACTTTATTTTTTTATCTTAATACAGTTTTTCTTTTGGGTGGAAAAATTAAGCGCAGCAAACCTGACCTGGTTTTGCTGCTCTGGTGACTGTTTAGCGAGTAGCTAAGAATGCTACATAGAAGCTATTACAGCTTGAGCATTAGAGTTAGCATTAGTCAAATCTGAACCCTTACAAGGTCCAAAGAAATGTGATCTTCCTATTGATTTAACATCTAAAAATGCACCTTTTGGTTGACATTACCCACCATCAACCTCAAAATCCGCACAGGGCACCCAACTAAACTTGATCAAAGCCCTGATCTCTAATGCCCTGTTCCTACTGACCCACTTTGCTGGTTCACCTGTGTTGACAGCAGTTTCCAGGCAAGGCCAGTGGCTCTGTTAGGGCTTCAGGCAGTGTGAGATCCTGGTTTTCCAGCAGGGTAGTTACGTTAATGAAGGATGTGATTCATTCCCACCTCGGAAGCATCAGTGTGGTTACACTGACATGCAGTTACTTTTATTGCTACAGGAATGGGAATGAGCTGTATCAGTAAATGATTCACACTGGAGATGTGTCTATTCAGGCACACGAGGAGGAAGGTTTGCACACTGTTGTTTCATCTTCAGGTTTATAACTGGATTTGTAATTTGGGAGCAATTCCAGTAGTTTTTATGAAACACAGACATGCAGCACCTCATGTGTTTGGAGTCTGTGGCACAGCATGTAGGAAGGCTCCTGGGAGTCTACAGTGTGCGGTGTTGTTTACTTTTAGTGTTTATAACACCTAACACACAAATACATTGTATCATATTATTTGTGGCTAGTCCTATATAAAACAATTGTAAGCGTGCCATGAACAAAACTGTGCCCAGCATTATTCAGAACAAAAAAGTCACAGAACAGACCACGCTAAAAAACTCCCACAAGATGAAGTTATTCACAGCAGCCTTCAAAACAGAGAATTTAAACATGTGTATCCCCACATACACTCAATAAGCGTTGCTTTTTACAACTTAAGAACAGTTCTAGCTTTTTTCTAAGGTTCATTGTGATGATAAATGTACAAAAGTGTATGGCGTGCACTGCTGCTTATTAGCATTTAATGCTTCTTGAACAACTACAATGCAAATATTCATCACAATAGATGGGAACCTTGGTGGGAACAAGAATTCCCACAAATTGTTTAAGAGTACAGTAAATGAATAGTGTTATAAACAAAAAGCCCAAACCCCTCACAAATGTGTATGCTGCATTTGCTTACAGATAGTCCACTACACATTCATTGTGCAACTGCACTTGTACAAATGAAACAAAAACTACCCCAAAAATTTATATCCCAACAAGAAGTGCTTTTTATGTATAGATGAGTTCAAGACAAGCAAACCACTGTTGTCAAAAGGTTTGCTTGAGTTTTCATGACAGAAAAGTTAGTGACAGATTTTTGCATAAGTAGGATGTTACAGGACAGAGCATGAAGTCATGACAATTTTAAAGACGGTTCCATTTTGAATTACTTAACTGACAGTGTAACCAGCACACTTACTAACAAGCATGGTAACTTGAAAAAAAAGGGATGCTGGAAGCTTATTTCTAAACTTTCAAGCTACAACTGAATACTAAAACGTCTAAATTACTAGATTTCAAAGCCACAAACAGACTGCATGCTAACACCTTTTAAAGTTACTTTGACTGCACTTATACAGCTGCCCAATCAAAATTAACTAAATCTGATCTATACAATGTATTAAGAAGATTGTTACATCCTGCACAAACTCTCATTTCCCACGTCTCACCTCTCTATTTAGTACAGTAATATGCAAACACATGTATTTTCACTTCTGACCAAGATACTTACAGTCAAAGTACACGTTTTTTAGTCTATTCTTATGAATACATTTAAGGAACAGAGAGGACAAAAGTCTTAATGATTCCTGCACCTTGTAAAATAGTTAAAAATCTTTAATATGCTTAAATCCTCATGTTATATAAGAGAAAAAAAAAAGGGCTGTGATTATATTCATAGTATCTTTCATATCTTCTTATGGTTGTTTGAAGTTACAATAATAGAAGCATAACAACTTACAGAGCTTATAAGAAATAGTTTCTTTAGCATACACGCACCTGACAGCCCTTCTTGGAAGGTTGGTTTCCCGTGTCAGCAGGACAAGATGAGAGAGTGTGAGGGTGCACACATATATTTATATACACACATTCACATAGAGATGTATCAGAGCAAGAACAAGACTGGCTAAAACCACAGCAGCGACCAGCAATACAGAGAAAAACTCCACAACGCTTTTGAAAACAATTCCCCATAAGGGAAACATTTCACAGCAGACATGATAAAGAAAAAATCCCCTACACATAGGAGATCTCATCAGACGGGCAGAGGAAGAACCCTACCACAGCTCCTCCATCCTGCCTCAGCCCAGGAGAGGAAGGGCGGAGAGCGAAGGGAAGAGGCGAAACCAGCTTCAATTTAACGAAGAGACAACAAATTGGCCACTTCAGACTCAGTCCTGAGCGGGGGGCTGGCTGGGCAGCCAGGACCCCCAGACCCTCTCCGAGAGCTCCCGCTCCCCTTCCCCGCTACCTCGCCCCTCTCACCAGCCTGGGTGGTGTCGCTGAGATCGTGGTTGGCGGCGCTGGCCCGCGGATAGTCCCGGAGCTTCCTGCCGCTCAAACTGAGCGTCCCGCTGACCGCCGCTTCTTCTAGGGCTCGGTCCAAGGAGCGGCTCCAGGAGCCGGGAGCCGAGGGACCAGGCGGAGCGGGACAAGGCGCGGGCATCGCGGCAGAGCCGCCCTCCGGCGCCGCCATTTCCCCGCCACAGCCCGGCCGGACAGCGCATGCCAGAGCGCGCCGCAGGGGCGCATGCGCGGCCGCCGCCCAGCGGCGCCGAGACCGCGCGGGTCCCGCGTCCGATCCAGCCGAGCCGAACCGAACCAGCCTCTCCTCGGGGCCGCATCTTCCCCCCCGACTCGGGTCAGCCGGCCTGCAAGGAGCGGCCGCCCCGGATACGCCTGGACACCTGCTGAAACTCCTACAAATTATAGTTTTCCCGCCAACATGGGATGTCACGGGTTGGTTTCTGGGTGCGCATCGCTCCCAGCTGCTGGGTGCCAGGCCCGTTCTAGCAGCAAACAAGGGTAGAGCGCACAAATCTCTGCTAAGTGGGAAATGTAACAACTGCTTCATGTTTTTTAACTTAAGGACTGATGACATTAAAAGGCCCCACCCTTTGTGACATCTTAATAAATACCGTCTTGCCCAGCTGCTTCCACTGACTCCACCTGATGCTGCAGCCAACACACCTCAGCTGATGCTGAAGAAAAAAAGCTGTCAATAATCAAGTAGCAAGACAATCACAATATTTAACACCTTATCAAATATATTTACAGGCAGTACTTTGTCCTGCATTGCCAATTAATAGCAGCATTTCCACTGCTTTGTGCCTCCTGCTGGCACAGCACTCCCACACGCCACGGAAGCTGCTCGGGCTGTTCGTGCAGCACAAGGTGTTGATGACAGAGATTCTCGCTATCGAGACATGTCACAGCAACAATCGGTGCTTGGGCTGACACATCTGGTACTCTCACCACACCAAACCACTACATTAGGCAGTGCTGCTGAAACATGAATTAGTAGCTGACACATTCAAATGCGAGTGAGCATATAGTGCCGCTCCAAGAAGTGCTCCCTTGTCAGGGTGTTAAGCTGGGCAAGGAGTGTGAGCCCTCTTTTAAGTTAGGTTGCTTTCTGCTGTGTTCTTCAGAATATTTAATAAGAATTTGATCAATAAGAACCCCTTGCAGGCTATCACAAAATTCACATAACCAGTATATTGCCCAGGTGGTTATAACAGGAACAAGACAATATCAAACCTGTAACTTTTTATTAAAAAAAAATTAACAGCTTCAGAATAGATCAAATGTAATAACTTCTCCAAAAAATACCAAAAGGTACAGTGTAAAGCATCTTCTCATTAAATACAAACTAGCACTTTTGATGCACTGCATCAATGTTTTGCATCTAGGCTGATGCAAAAGAATTTTTTTTGTTGCATCCTGGCACACAGAAAACGTATACATTGAAACAGGATGACTGACTACACTTTATCTACTCAAATTCTAACAGTGGGACATTTATTAAAAAAAAATTCCTACTAGTAATTGAGAAAGAAACCTTAACATCATTACATTTAGTTTGCTTCGGCTAAGGTATATTTTTCAACATTAAAAATAAGGGTTTAAGTCCTACTTAGCATCAGAGTGCACTCCAACTTCAAAACTATACAAAAAAAAAAAAAAGCCCTTCTGCTGTCAAGTTTTCTTCAAGGTTGAAGTTGCCAGTATATGCTAGTTAACTGGGAATTTGAGATAAAAATGCAAGGAAACCAACTGTCAAATGTAAATTCTTCAAGAATGTGAAAAGGAGTTAAACCTGCTTCAAACACCATAAACATTCCTGGATGCAGCAAGCCAGGCACTCCTCTACCTCACTGTACCTAACCCATCTCGCCAAAAAGCAGTGCCAACATCATCAGTGCCTGGTCTGGAAGCAATTCTGAATAGGTGCCTCAGTTTTAGGGATTATATAAATATAGATTGAGGATGCCCCAGTTGTAACTGTTGTGCAGATTCTGATGCACAGAGCTATACTTAAAGCAGGTAGCTACATGCTCCTGCCTAAGGCTTTACACAGGCTGACAAACTGAGGGCTTTCCTCCAGCAACGTTCCTCAGTTTCAGAGAATTTCCAGATGTCTGACCACTTTGGATCAGTTTCACATCTTGCCTCTCTTTGGTATAAACAAACGAGTACCATGAGATTGCTTGCCTCCAACTATTTTTAAGAGTTAGAGAAAAACCTCTAGGGCAAAGTATGCAGGATGAGAATCCTGTATCTGGGAGGGTAAGAAACTCTACCATACTGCTGACTTCCTTGTGAACTGCTGTATTTTTTCCTATCAAATGATTCAAAAACATTAAGTTATTGCATTAAGTTTGTGAAAAACCTTTCGAAAAGAAATAAAGATCAAAAGTTTAAGAAGGAAAGGAGACAGATGAACTCCATTTACTTAACAGTATGATGAAGTTGAGCTATCTGGAATATAAAGGACTCCCACACTGCCTCTGCAGTATTCTTCCAATATGGTATATGATCTGGACCACTTTTAAGGATAAGAGTAGAATAGTCTCCATCCCAGTTACAAATTTTGGGTCTCAGCTAACAGCTTTATTTGTGAATGTGAGGATGCAAAACAGTTTTCAAGAAAGGAAAAAAATGGAACTTTAAAAGCACAAAGAAGTACAGAACCAATGCTCCCATGAAAAATCCCGCTACATTGCTACCAAAGTATCCATGGACTGAGACTGTGGTAAACTGGAGTTTGAAAGAGAGCTCAAAGGCAGTCCCTAAAAAACCCTAAAATGGGGTTTGTAATTAAACACTTAAACAATCTTTACCATAACAGAAGGGTCAAAGAACTCAGCTGGGCAATAGAATCTTTTCCAAACAGATGATGGTGCCACTACGTCAGATCAGTTTCTCTCCACTTTTCCTCTCTCAGGACATCAAGTCTTTTACCATTCCAAGTAAAAGTAATAAAGAGATAGCTCTGCCACCATCTTAGCAAGATGTCTGGAGAATTCTAGCAAGATGTCTGGAGAATTCTAGTGACATATGCTGTATTCTTCTGCAGTGCCCAAGTTCATCTGCCAGGTTAGCCCACTGTTACAAAGCGGCTTCCTTTGTTCTGAGACAGTGCTGTCCTCTGCTCCTTCAGGATCCCAAATCGTTCGTTCAACGTCATCCCTGTCTGAAAATAAAGTAATTTAAACAAAACTTTAAAGGTGCTGGGTAAATTTAATCAAAATAATGGGAGACAGAATACTTTTTTATTCAGTCTGTATCATCTCTTGACTCCTTACTCGCCTCACTTGGACTTTTTGTCACTTCCCACACCATTTAAAAATCAGGTTGGACTACACATCAAGAGCTTGCATTTTCAGAATTCATTAAGAACACATGGTATATAATGTCAATACTCAAAGCCTACTCAAAATATTTTAAGTTAAACTGAGGACAGACAGACTGAAAAACAGAACTTTCAGTACACATTTCCCCACACAGATTCTCTGCAACTTTAACAAATGCAACATTTTCTCCGTTTTAATGCAGGCTGCTTTCCAGTTCACTCAGCTAAGGCAGCAAGCTGGAGCCTAATCCAGAAGTTCAATTAATTTTACACTACAGTAGTAGGCTATTTTTGACGTGTTCTGGGATGTATTCTTATTTCTCGATGTAACAAATGCAGATCAATGCCTTGACTCCATGCAGTTTTCTACAGCTGGCACTAAGGAGCTGATTACAAGAACAGCGTCTAACTCTGTCACTCTGTAAGAATTCCTTCACTGACAGCATTAGGATCGCTGCACCAAATCACCTGTCTTCATGAAACTTGTGAAAAATTGCTCAATTTCAAGCCTTTACATGATCACATTTAATTTTTTTCTTCCTAGCTCAACAGCAAAAGTTGCCTTATAAATTTGTCTGCCAGGGCTCTAGGCAGGTCACACAGCTGAAAGCAGCTCATCCCTGAATTATTCACAGTTGCTGATGCAAGCACAGCAGAAACACCAGAAGCCTTTAAGAAATATTCAACATTTTAAATCCCGTTTAAATCATGTGGGCATGCAAGGCATGAACTAGAAGAACAGGAACAGTGGGTTTAGCTACTTGCTTGAAGTTACACAGTGAGTTAGCGGAAAGACTGGAAGTGGAAACAAGAAGTAGTCACCAGTTCTGTCTTTCTGTCACTGGCAAGTCTAGGAGGAAAGTGCCTCACTGGCTTTTATTGGTCTGAAAATACTTTCACAGTTATGAGAGGAAAATTGCATTCACCTGTTTTCCAACACTATTTATATCAAACTGTAATGGAACCCCTTTTGGAATCTTCTTCTCTTCAGATTGGTCCCTCTTCATCAGAAACGGTGGTACAGGACTACGAGTTAATCGTAATTTCTGGGAACTGTTAAAGAAGAATGTTACAAAGGACATGATGAACGTGTGTTTTATGCAAGAAAGCCTTAATATTGATAGAGGTATGAATTTTTCATCAAACCATTTGACCAGGCTGGCTGAAGAGCTGGAGGGCACAAATTCAAGAAGGTCAGGCAGAACTAAAAAAGGGACTGTTTGTTATTGTTATCAGGTTGGAAGAGTCCCAGCAGGAAACCATCTTATTTTTTATCTGCAATTCTACTGACAAATGTGTAATTTGCAGTTAATTAATCCTATAAACACAAAAAAATAAAAATTGGTAGTCTTCCTTACTGATAAAATGCTACCAAGGAAATGCTACTCAAGATATTTTTTAAATATACCACCTATAAACAACAGTACTATCAACTTCCCAAACACAAACAGCAATGCTCTCTTTAAGTCCAGCAGTATTTTTATGAATCAGGGAGTAACTGTTACCACCACTCATCAAGTAGGTGCTCATTCATTTCCACTCAGAGGCAGACAACAGCTGTGACATGGCCTGATTTGGAGGGGACAGACAAGGTGAAAATCTACCAGCCCACCACTCTTCCACTCTATACACCACATCAAGCTCCTGACTGGGAGATGACGTGTGAGATCCAGCCATGATATTATTCAAACGCTGCTCAGAAACACTCAGAAAGGGACCAGACTTAAAAGCCTTCACAAGAAGCTGTGACTCTGAAGTCACCTGAAACACTGCCTGCAAGGAACATTCTAAACGATTCAAAGCAGCAATTT